GAAGACAATACATGAATCTGAACGACTGATCAGAGAGCTGATTGTCTTCTCAAGGAGAAAAAAAGAGGAGGTTAAAAAACATGCTTGAGAAAGCACCACAGCAGAGAGAAGAAAGGTAAATTAAGTTGAAATGAATGAAGAGGGGAAGGAATTACAGCTTTCATACTCATCTAATCTTTTGGAGGACCAAACTGCGCCTTAAGGAGTGTACCAGTATGCATTAAGAAAGACAGAGATGGGAGAGGAAAGACTGGTAAAATACTTTGAGAGGCACAAGCCGACCATACTTTAGGCTGGCTCTGGGTGTGAAATGAACAAACTAGTCATATATTTGACTACCTGCAGGACAGTGGGCAAGACACTTTCACAAGGACAAGAGGGGACTGAAATCCAACAATATCAGCGTTTTAAAGCTACATACTGATAACAAGTCTGTAACATACGGCTACCACTGAGTAGTTCCAAGCTTAGGTTTCTGAGGCATTAAGCAAATTTTGTATGTGCTGACATTTGCAACGTCAGTGAGAGTTGAGGGCACTCTGCCATTTACAGAGCCAGCTCTTCGGCGTGCCTACAGCGATACAGGAGGAGAGGAGCTAATCAGGTGATTACTGGAACATTTGAAAAGGTAAATGGAAAAAGCTTCAATCCATTTTGACATCTTTGAACGAAATACTTGATGATAAGCAATGAAATAAACATCACCAACAAGAGAACTCACTGGCCCTAGAAGCTGACAAAAAGGTTAACGCCAGCGTCAGCCTTGTTTATGAAGTAAAGGCTTAATAAAAATAATAAGCTCCTGAAAATGTAGACTGAAATCTTGGCATCTTAGAGAAGGTCCTACAATGTATGGAGCTACACACAAGTCACAGCAACAGTAAAACTTTGGATTTGGCAGGCTTGATATTACATACTGATACACATTACATATTGATAGCCTGATAACATTTGCCTGTCCATGTAGCAGTAACTTTTGAATGCTGCATCTAATCGATTCAAGAATTCCTGAGTACATTCTGGGCAATTCTGGGCTTAGTAAGGACGGCAGCAGTAAAACCAAAATCACTAGAAAGCCTGATTTCCACAGTAAGTTAACTGCATGCTACTGCCAGAAGCCCTCGGAGGTTGCTTAGGTGGGCCTCACTCGCTCCTTCCATGCGGTCTGTAGGCTGCAATCCCACATGGGTGGTGCGAGCAACCAGTAGCGGGAGCCATGGGCCAGGACCGAGCTGCTGCAGGACGCCAGTGAGCCACGGGTGGTTGCTTCCCCTCAGAGGCCGTTGCCGCAGAAGGAGAGACGCCAAGATTGGCACCTCCAGTGCCATGCCTGTGTCATGTTTGCACCACCGAACATGCTCAAAGAAATCCCAGATGTCCCTGCCTACAGAACCGCCTGGGCGCCGCCACGGAGGCGCTGGGACGGCTGTCCAAACCCGGCCAAAGCCAGGGTGGAGGAAGGTGGACTTGCAGGCTGTGACGTGCAGGCAACATGGCATACAGGCAGTCTGCGAGGGCACTGGGCAGGACTGCCATGGGGAATACTGAACTGTGTTTTTCCACAGATAGGGGCCATTTTCTGTCCTATAAGCAATTCTGAGATTTCAGGGGGAAAAACAACAAAAAACAAAAACAACCCCCCCCCCAAACCTTTCATCCTTTACTGGGTGAAAACTACGTAATAACAATGTGTAGGATCTGAAAACAATTTCAGTTAAGTCCACTGAAGGATATCATTCTGACCTTTAAAACAATTTAATCATTTTTAGTATCACCATCATTATCATCATACAGGTATGTGACCTCCTCTTTTTCCGGTATAAAACAAATTCATTTTCTAAACGGAAAGTCCCTTTGAATCTTAAATGAAAGAATGCTGCAGCAGCAGACCTTTCTTCTCCCCAAACGTTTTCCACTTGAACTATCCTCCTCCATAAGAATTTTTGGCTTTGCGGAAGTGGCATTTCCCTTGGAAAGTCCATTCAATTAGAAAATTACTGCTAATCCAGAACAGGGGGCTATTGAGACTATTCAAGGAAAAAAAAAGAATTTTAAGCATGCGAAGGAACCAAAACACTGTGCTGCAACTGCTGTCCTACCTTATCTTCCTTAAACTGTCTGTTGGTCCAATGTCATTTAATTTGCCTTTGCCTAAAGACAAGCTTTCAAAGATGATCTTGAAATCCTCAGAATTTTGCACCTTCACAGCTACCATTCGGTCACAGTAACTGCAGCTTTTAAGGATACACACAATACACCTACACTGCTAATTTGCAAACGCTTTACCTTTTGTCCTCTTGCACCAGGGTTCCCTTTAAAGGAAAATGGCACATATTAGACTCATCAAAGACTTGGTCTTTGTGGAGAGGCAGTAATTAAGCTAGTCAAATATTGCACCACTTCAGTAAGAAAGAAATGAAAAGTAGGAGTGTAACAAATCCCCAAGGGGGGATCATTCTTTATCACAAGAATTTCTCTGAGAGAATTTGCATATTTCAGTTTACATTTTATTTTCAAAATGAAACAAAATCCTATTTTAACTTGTAATAGCACTAAATGCCATAGCTAAGTAAGAGATGCAGAACAGAATGTGCATCTGAAAAAAATCTGACTTTTAATGTAATTATAAGTATGATACTGAGACTGAATACGTTTTCACTTGTATAAATACTAGGGACTAATACAAAAACTAATCCTGCCCCCACACTGGAACCTCTTATCCCTAAAGTAATGTGACATCATAGCAATGGGAAGTATATGAGAACCTTGTGAACCTTCAACCACCACAAAAAAAGCTAGCCAAGATTACCTTTTTTAGCAAAAAGAAAATACAGTTTTGCGATACTGAAAAACATGCCTCTCCAGAACCCAGACTGCAAGGCACTGACTCTGTAAGGAAATTTACAACCATAAAACACGGCTTTATAAAACGCCAAAAGTCTGGAAAGCTGTTGACTTGCATCATACCTTTCACTACCCAAACTAATTGTGTAAGGTACAGGGCAATTAACAAATGGTCAGCAAGTATCAAGTTGTTTACCAAACAGAATAGTTAGAATTCATCAGTAGAATAAATGAATAAATGTCCACAGTTTTTAAGGAAAAAAAAAAAATCAAGTGTCAGGTGGAGATGAACCACCCTCTATTAATAAATAAATCAGTTATCCCAGTTTACAAAAGAACAACTGACAAAATAAAAGCCTATTGTCATTCCTCTTTTGTACCTTCTGAACTGCAAGGACAACTGCTCATTAAACAGCCTTTGGCAAATTGCAACACTAAAAGAAATGAAGAATAAAGGCATCTCTAACAGTAACTGAGTTTCAAATAAGCTTTTTAATCCAGAATTGCAGAATGAAGCAGAAAGCAGTTATCACATTTTGACTTCAAATTGCTAAATGAAATCTGCAGTACTCAAGATTGCTTCCTAGTTTATATTGTAATATTTTAAGAGAAAAGAGGCCTTTAAAGCACCTCCACATTGGCACTATGGCAACTGACACTCCATACAAATATGAAGTAACATAGTCCTTAATTCTTATCTATCTGAGTCACTTAATGTAAGCAGCTACTACTGTTGTGCCAGGTACGCTTTAGGGGTCTTCTCTCCAAAGGAAACATAAACAAAGAGTTGTGGAAATGGTACATCTTACCATTAACTGGCTACTTCACTTCTCCCTCCTTTTAAGTGAGACGTATATAATTATAGACCCTGTGGTGCTCCAAGGTAAGAGAGTACTGCATCACTGAACCATAATACACTGTAATTCTATTCCTATTCCTGATGATTATTACTATTTCTCCTTAAATAGAAGCATCTAATTTATAAAACAAAGCATAAAGCACAGATCGTTTTTTAACATCTGAATTCTCCAGCACAGAAATACTTTGGTAATAAACTACTGATTTTTGGTAACAATAAGTAAATCAGGCAGGAAGAATACACTGTATAAAAGGAGAGCGCTTGTGCTTGGTCATAGATACACTGCTAAGCAGCAGATGACGGTAAAGGACACAGATATAAATTACATGGTTATTTTAATCTGCTCAGCGAGACAGGATCTTGCTAAGAAGGAGCTGTTTTCTTCTTCCCTGTCTGCTGTCCTTCTGCAGCACTGAACAGGCAAGGCCAGTTTCTCTCTACCAGTCAAGGTCTGTACAGGTTTTACCAAATAGTTTTACTGCATAATAAACCCCACCTGATGCTGTTACTTGCAGAGCAACAACTGAATACTGATTGGGTAAGCAGTATGCTTCCATTAGACCAATGCACAAAATATTTTGGTGACACTCGTGGAAAAACTACAGCTGATATACCCTTCCAAAAGACAGAAAACAATTTCCCCTCACTATATTGAAGGCCAGCTTTTAAGAATAATTTTGAAGCAAAATATCTGAAGGGAGGAAAATTTCTTTCCATATCTAATTTTCACTAATGACAGCAAGAAAGTCAGCAGATTTATTAAACAATGCAAACTGCTAAGAAAGCAAATAAGCATAATATGAAAACATCAAGCATAGAGCTTT